CGGAGCCCGTTAGTGGGTTCCTTAGTGGGTTGGGGGGGCGCTAAAGGTGCCCGCTGAGTCCCATGGTCACAGGCTTCATCCGCCTGTGATTTTTAAGTGGGTCCCCGCTTCGCCGTAGCGGAAAAGACCCGTTTTCCGCAGAGCTAGTCCCTCCAGTTCAGAGGGAGTCCGCCATTGCCGGTGGCGCCACCCCGGAAGTCGCCCTGAAGTCCAAGGTATCATATGCACACCACAGTCAAGAGATTGGACAAGATGGATAAATCTGCTTGATTTTTATTTGTGTTGCTTTCACATGGTTTTGCCTAATTCCATTGTGTTCTATTTCTGCATGAATGTGCACTTAAAAGTAAACAAATAAAACTCAAAACATATGTATATTTTCCTCCCAAAAAGATACACATTCTACTGCATCTGAGCTGCCAAGAATTGCATTGCAACATTTGGAGAAATTGAAAATCTGGTAGATCCTTAAGTTCTGATCAGCACTTTAGTCGTGTGGGCATTTTCTATAGCTGTGATGGGGCTTTTCAGAAGTTATTGGACTCCCAACACCCATCAACCCCAGCCCACAAGGATAAAGGGGGAGCTGCAGTCCAGCAATACCTTGGGGGTCACACATTCCACCGTTGCATAGGAACTCACGACGATCAGATCCTTCAAGCATCCCTAATTGATTCGTGAATCATTCAATTGAAGCAAGCAAAATTCAGTAACGAGCAGCTAGCAAGCCAGCCTTTGTGGGCTGGGGTTCAATTTGCATGACTCCATGCACAATATGATTACTGCCTTGCAGTCGGACAGCCAAGCTAAGCTGCAATTAAGGCTTGATGAAATTGTACCAATCTGCAAATGGACTCTTGTTCAGCAGTGTCACGCATGGTCCAACTTTAAATGTTGTTGTTGTTGTTGTTGTTGTTGTTGTTGTTGTTGTTACTTCAGTTATGATGACCTTGAGGTCAGAAATAGAATGTCTTGGGAGACTGACATCTATGCCCACTGAGTTTTCATTCTTAATGTCTGCTTTGAATCCATGTGTTCCTTTATGCACTGGCAATTAGAGAAGCATACATCTGGAGTCAGAAAGCTATGAAATAACACCTAAGTCTATAACCATAGATGTTGTGTGTGGGGGGGGTCCCAGTGAATACATTCCTCAGCCCCAATTGCCGCTTAGATTAAACACATTTCACCTGTGTACCTAAAATGAATGGGAGATTTTCCCCATGCTTCACCCATCCAGCAACAGAACCCAGAGCATTTTAACAATCTCAAATCTATGAATTGAGAAGTGTTGACATTTGCAAACAGGTTAGGGCAAACTGCTTATTTACCATAACTCATCAAAACCTTAATCTTAGCATATGTTCCTTGAGATTTGCTTCACGTGTTGAGAGCTGTGAGCAATTACTTAGCAGGTTCTTCTTATTCTTTTTTAAGGTTTCTCACGAACTGCTGTGAAATGTTCTACATGAAAGGACAACGTGTCTAAATTTACTCGGAGGATGAATGATTTGTCATGCAGGGATGTCCATTAGATCTCAGCCATTACCAAGGATGCTCAGGGTAATAAATCATCATTCTGCATTGAGTGGAGATACAGCACCTTCCTCCGTTTTGGTTGTTCAGTCATAATTATGATAAATGAAAAGCCCCAGACAGGTGAATTTTAATAGGCATACAAATGCATTTGGATTAATTTGATTATGTTTGCTGATTTCTGCCCCCTCCCTGCCCACCATTCTCTCTCCCCAGACAATCTTCTGCTCTTTGAACTGGAAAGCAGTGTGGGCAACAGAGAAATATAAAGTGCATTTAAAACCATTTTTAGAATGTTTTTAAATTAAGATTTGCAAATGGAACAAACAAAGCATCAAGCTAAAATACATCATAAACACGGTCATAAAGGCAATTATAGTAAAAATGCAAGATGAAAAAATTAACTGAAAAAAATAAATACAGTAGCATAAAATATATTCCGCAGTGGAATACAAAGTTCATATTTATACAAAATATATCAAATATTCATAAACATCACCAGATAAAGTCATATTTAGTAGGAATGTGCCAACCAGGAGGTTATTTGGTCATATAAATCATAAACAGCCCACAAACAGATGCAGCCTGTGAAGGGTCTGCATCTCCCCTGTTGTTTGTATCTTATGGGACAGTTTTTCAGATATGGCAATAAACGCAAAACACTTTCAAAATACGATTCTGACCTCCAAGTGCTATTGCCTGTTCAAGAGGCCTTAGAATGGATGAAGAAAGGAGTATGAAGAATTCTGGAAGCATGCATCCCTGTTGGAAATGTTTACATGTGACAAATGTCTGCTTGTTCTGTTCCAGGCCCTGGCCACAGCAATGCAAGAGTTTTGCCCTTAGTGGAAGTGGTGATGCTGGGGTCCCAGAGTTCAAGATCCAGCAAAGCAGGACAAAGTCCAGATCTGAGCAAGACAAGAGTGTAATTAAGCAATATAAGGCAAAGTCAAAAGGAAGGAAATAGTCCAAGTTCTAGTAAAGCACAGCAGGTTATCAGAATGTAAATGGCATCTTGGGCAGTTCCATAGAGAGCTCAAGGCTCATAGGAGTAAAACTCAGATGTTGCAACAGTGCAAATAGCACCTTGGGCAGTTCCATAGGGCGCTTGAGACTCAGGAGCAAAACTCAAATTTTGCTTCAGCAATAGGCAATTCCACAGTGAGCAGCTCAGTCCAGATGGCTAGATCTTCCTCCTGAAATTAAAAGCACCTCTTTTGCTTCAACAGCCGTTGAATCTGACAGTGTAAGGAAGACAGTCAGTTCCTGGAGTCAGAGGACGGTAATGCAACTACCTCAGACAAGAGAGATGCTGGCAAAATGGGCTCCGTTTACACTAGATTTTTCCAGGGCAATGGGATGTTTAGGACCAGCTCTGAGGGCAATTTGCTCTCCCAGCCTGACACTTCTTTCAAATCCATAACCTTGTTCCTTGAATTTAGGTAGCCAGGTCTTATGATCACAACACTTCACTGGTTCTCTTCCTCAACACTTTCCTCTTCTACTTGGCTTTCTTCCCGTTCTTGTTGTTGTTTAGTCGTTTAGTTGTGTCCGACTCTTCGTGACCCCATGGACCAGAGCACGCCAGGCACTCCTGTCTTCCACTGCCTCCTGCAGTTTGGTCAAACTCATGCTGGTAGCTTCGAGAACACTGTCCAACCATCTCGTCCTCTGTCGTCCCCTTCTCCTTGTGCCCTCCATCTTTCCCAACATCAGGGTCTTTTCCAGGGAGTCTTCTCTTCTCATGAGGTGGCCAAAGTACTGGAGCCTTAGCTTCAGGATCTGCCCTTCTAGTGAGCACTCAGGGCTGATTTCCTTAAGAATGGATAGGTTTGATCTTCTTGCAGTCCATGGGACTCTCAAGGGTCTCCTCTAGCACCATAATTCAAAAGCATCAATTCTTCGGCCATCAGCCTTCTTTATGGTCCAGCTCTCACTTCCATACATCACTACTGGGAAAACCATAGCTTTAAACCATAGCTTTCCAGTTCTTAAGGTTGCCCATAACATCCTCCTTGGTCCACTATCTTGGATTTGATACAAGCCTCAATCTTGGTGTTTATGTATTGTGTTAAGGAGCCAGTTCCACCCTGAGGCCAAAACCAATCATTGATGTTGACTGGAACTTAAGTATTTGCCTGGGAGGGAACACAACATGGCACACCCCCATTATTCATAATCATTACAATTCTGCAATTACCCTCCCAGTCAATTGCCAAGCTAATTCAAATCTGTTATCAGTGTTCTAGTCTAGTGTTACAGACCTCCTTTATCTTTACATTAAGATTTGCTAATCAGGCTGTATGGCTTGCTTGCCCTTGAGCTGTAGAATAAATTCCTGTTTTCCCCTCCTCTTCTCCACCAAGTCTCCACTCTTAATAGACATGAAATGTGTATGCCATTTCAAAGATCCATGTGTATTAATCCTCCTTATGCTAATGCTTCACCTTCTCTCTCTCTCTGTCTTTCTCTCTCTCTCTCTCTTTGTTCTGAATGCTTACCCTTGATGTAAACTTTACATGACAGTTTTGCTTAACATAATTTATACTGAGTCATTGACTCTTGGAGCTCACAGTGAGCTTTTGCAACCACTTGGGTTGGCAGGTGGAGAGAGGCCCTGCATGAAAATTGGCCCTGCATGAAAAAAAGTTTTAATTGTGGTACATGCATTTATTTATCTGTTTTTGCTAAGCCACTCTAGGAACAACATTTTTTGACCCAAATAGCAAGGTGTAAATGCTCTAAGTAAATGCATAATGTATGCATAGGCAGCTGGTGAGTTCATATGAGACATTTTCTCCATAGCTTGCTCACCCAAGCACTCTCGTTTGACACCTGAGGCCTTGCTTTGGGGCCCTCTTTGCCATGTTTGGTGGGTGGACACAAGAAATTTGTGTCCTTTATGGTGGTGATGTCAGTACTCTGCAGTGCTCTGTCTACAGAGGCCCATATGGCCCAATCAAGACATTTCTCCTGGCTATAAGATCTGGGTCTTTTAGGAGAGGCTTTGTAGTAGGGAAAATAATTTCCTAGATTCCGCCATAGAATCTCTAGTTTTAAAAGATCAAGGCGATGGGAAAGTTCTCTGGCTGAGCTCCCAGTGAGATGCTGCTTCTTCCACACCCCAGTGTACCCCTGAGGGTCCCCCAACCCTTCAGAGAAAATTAATTGGCATGCAAGTGATGGTGGAGAGGTACATTCTGCCAGGTATGTCCATCTCACAGCAAGTTGGAAGCTATTGAACTTAATCCAATATTTTTAGAGTGGCCATCACTAACCTGGTGCCCTCCAGACTACAACTCCCATCAGTCCCCCAGCCAGCACATTTTCAGGTTCTAGATTAGGTTGACAAAGGCTGTTTCAGAGTGTGTGTTTTTGAAATGTCTGGAGGAAATTAAATAACGACATCTGCCCCTGTCACTGCGATCCATTGTTCACATGTGTTTGCACACTTGTTTTCAAAATCAGCTCAGTGGCAGAGCATCTGCTTTCCATGCAGGAAGTTCCAGGTTCAATCCCTAGCATATCAACATGTTGCTGGGAGTGTCTCCTGTCCCAAACCCTGGATTGCTTCTGCCAGTCAGTGTACTCAATACTGAGGTAGATCATTGAATGCAGGAATCACAACTAATTGGAACAATGGTCTGACTTCCTGTGCTCCCAAGTAACCAGGCAACCTCATGTTTCCTGCTCCTGAAACATTGGGTGGCATTAATAATACTTGTTGTCAGATGGTGCTTTTACAGCACAGACTATTGTTTTGAGGAAATATATCAGCGTGCACATTTTGTTGCTTATCATCCCAAGGCTGCCATCTGTCACGCACACAGCCGGGCAAAGGGGGAATAAATACACACAATCAATTACTTTGATCATAACTGGATGCCTGGACCACATCTGCATGAACGACTTTCCAGTTGCAGAGACGGCCATTATATCAGGATCCATGAAGTGGGGCGAGGAAATGGATTAGCCACCAGGGCTTCAATTAACGGTTTTAGTTCCCTGTGGGATATTGATGTCCATCAACTCAGATTTTGTTGTCAGAAGCCGACAGCCACCACTGGTGTCTATTGTGCTTAATTTACACAGCTTGTAAAATCCTGGAAGTGAGGATTGATAGAAAAGTCTGACTTTTTTATTTTTTAACCACAAGACAACATATAAATTATATCTTGCCCCTTCCTCTCCATCTTGAAAGGCTTTGGCTGAAAGGGCAGACTAATTCTGCTATGCTGAGTGAAGGCCCAACATCAGGGTGATCATTACCCTAAATCATGTTTACTGCATTCTAGAGAGAGCGAGAGAGAGAGGACACTAATCAGCTTTCTCTCTTATTTGGGCTAATGACGGCTAAATAATTTCATCCCACTACAATTGCTAAGAGCCAGGCTGAGGCAGTCAAGGGGGTGGGCAGCTGGAAAGGCACAGAACATTTAATCACAAATACAATATTGAGGCCAAAACACAGTGGAGGCTGTTCCATTTTGGTGGACGGGGCACAGTTTGGAGGAAAGGCGAGTAAGAGGAGACATGATCGAAATTTATAAAACGATGCATGGCATGGAGAAAGCAAATGAATTTCTCCCTCTCTCAGAACACTAGAACTCATGGGCACCCAAAGAAGGTGAATGTTGGAAGATTCAGAACAGAGTAAAAAAGGTCTCCTTCATGCAGAGAATGGTTAAAACTATGAGACTTGCTCTCACAAGAGGCAATGCTGGCCACCAACCTGGATGACTTTAAAAGAGGATTAGACAAATTCATGGAGGAGAGGGCTATTGATGGCTACTAGCCACAGTGGCCATGCTTCTGCCTCCAGAATTGGAGGTGGTACAGCTTCTGAATGCCAGTAGCTGGAAACCACAGGAGGGAATTCTCTTGTGCTTGGGCCCTGTTGTGGGTTTCCCACAGGCATCTGTTTAGCCACTCTGGGAACAGAATGTCTTTCTTTTGTCTTCAGTCTCCCTTCAGCCAACCCCCACCTGCTTGCCTCCTTACTTACAACCAATCCAGGAGGTGGCCCTGCCTGTTACCTCCTTGATCGCCCTTGTAGAATTGATGAGGAAAGATAGTGGGGACAAAACTAGAATTTGTTGGCTTTGGCTGTTGTTGCAGCTCTGGTTCTACCTATTTTTGGCTCTGACTCCACCAACTGTTGGTCTCCTTGCCTTCTGCTTAATGGTTCCGATGGGTACTAGCCACCACTAGAGAACGAAGGCTTAAGACAGAGGTTAGCAAGTCATCCTGCTCACATCCTGCTTCAGAAGACATCTGAAGGCAGCCCTGTTTAGGGAAGCTTTTAATGTTTGATGTGTTACTGTATTTTAATATTTTGTTGGAAGCCACCCAGAGTGGCTGGGGAAGCCCAGCCAGAGGGGCAGGGTATAAATTAGTAATAATAATAATAATAATAATAATAATAATAATAATGCTGATGCAAGGAAAGAATTAGATTAGGTTACAACCTGATGACCATGGTGGCTAATCTTTCCATTTTGAACACGAATCTTGGGTTTAGAAGGAATAACAGCTACACAATAACTGTAAGTTACTAGATAAACGTATGAGCTTTGTCACATTATATCTGTTATATTGCATCCAACAGGCTTTATGTGTTTTCTATACTAGGTTAATGTATCCACAAGAGGAGCAAGAAATTTCATAAAGCTTTCAAAATGCTCTCTTCTTTTTTCGTAGTGATGAGCTAACTCCCTTGGCTTGATCCTGAATTCGCTCAGTAATGATTACAAGCTTTCTCAGCAAAAGCTCAGAAAAATAATAATAATCTACTTTGGAGAGTTCTCCTCTATGTCGTAATGCATGCTTATGCACACTGACGATGCCCTGTATATGAACTATATCATCCTGACCTCAGGGAATTGTAATTCCTGGCACCGACCATGGGAAAGAATGAATGAGAATTGCAGTACCACCATCAACCCTACACATACAAATAAGAGAAAAAGAAGGTTTCAGATATGGTCTTAAATGCACATTTCTACATCATTGTGCATTAAAAAAAAATTCTATTGAAAATTCACAAGCATTTCTGTGTGAATTTCTTTTTTATATATAATATTTATTAAAGTTTCGAGATATTACAAAAATAAGAGAAAAAAGGGGAAAAAAGGAAAAAAGAAACAAAAATGAAAATACAAAGTAAAAACAGTTAAAAACAAATCAGTCTTTCCATATCTTATCTTTCATTTGCTTGTTTCCCTGACCTCCTCACACCTCCCTTTTTTGTATTCCAGTTCAATTAGTTAATTCAGCAATTCCTTTCCCTCTTTGGTTTTATCTTAATCTTCCATCTTAAAATATTATAACTTTAAATTATCACCTATTAACAATCCATTTTTACATATTCCTTTCTAACATTGCTACTAAAAACCACTTAACTTCAATCCAACATCATTCTAACATTCATTAATTTTGCAGTGTTTCTGTAAATAGTTTTTAAATTTCTTCCAATCTTCTTCCAGCGACTTTTATCCCTGGTCTCGGATTCTGCCAGTCATTTCCGCCAGTTCCATATAGTCCATCACCTTCGTCTGCCATTCTTCCAGAGTGGGTAAATCTTGTGTCTTCCAGTGTTTTGCGATAAGTATTCTTGCTGCTGTTGTGGCGTACATAAAGAAAGTTCTATACTTCTTTAACACCAATTGGCCAACCATGCCCAGGAGAAAGGCCTCTGGTTTCTTCAGAAAGGTATATTTAAGTACCTTTTTCATTTCATTATAGATCATCTCCCAGAAAGCCTTAATCCTTGGGCACGTCCACCAAAGGTGAAAGAATGTACCTTCAGTTTCTTTACATTTCCAACATTTATTATCGGGCAAATGATAGATTTTTGCAAGCTTGACTGGTGTCATGTACCACCTGTATATCATTTTCATAATATTCTCTCTTAAGGCATTACATGCCGTAAACTTCATACCTGTGGTCCATAAATGTTCCCAGTCAGCCATCATTATGTTATGTCCAACATCTTGTGCCCATTTAATCATAGCAGATTTCACCGTTTCATCCTGAGTATTCCATTTCAACAGCAAGTTATACATCTTTGATAAAATCTTGGTTTTGGGTTCTAACAGTTCTGTTTCCAATTTTGATTTTTCCACCTGGAAGCCAATTTTCTTGTCCAGATTGTATGCCTCCATTATTTGATAATAATGAAGCCAATCTCGCACTTTATTTTTTAGTTTTTCAAAGCTCTGCTATTTCAATTTATCTCCCTCTTGTTCCAGAATTTCCCAATATTTCGGCCATTTGGCCTCCATATTGAGCTTTTTCAGAGCCTTCGCTTCCATCGGTGACAACCACCTTGGGGTTTTATTTTCAAGTAGATCCTTATATCTTATCCAGACATTAAACAATGCTTTCCTGACAATATGGTTTTTAAATGCTTTATGTGCTTTGACCTTATCATACCACAAATATGCATGCCATCCAAATACATTATTAAAGCCTTCTAAATCCAAAATGTCTGTGTTTTCAAGAAGCAGCCATTCTTTCAGCCAGCAAAAGCTGCTGATTCATAATAAAGTTTAAGGTCTGGCAGGGCAAATCCACCTTTTCCTTTGCATCCGTTAGTATTTTAAATTTTATTCTAGGCTTCTTGCCCTGCCAGACAAATCTAGAAATATCTCTCTGCCACTTCTTGAAGCAATCCATTTTATCCAAAATTTGCAATGTTTGAAACAGAAACAACATTCTAGGCAATACATTCATTTTTATCGCAGCAATACGGCCTAGCAGTGAAAGCTTCAGATTTGACCAAATTTCTAAATCTTTTTTCACTTCAGTCCAGCATTTTTCATAATTGTCTTTAAATAGATTCCCATTTTTAGCTGTCATGTTAATCCCCAGGTATTTCACTTTCTTAACCACTGTTAAACCTGTCTCATTCTGAAACCCATTTCTGTGTGAATTTCTGTACACACATTTTTCTGCTCTACATATTTTTATATACCATTTCCTTGAACATAAACATTATAGCAAAGCAATTTCCCCTAATATAATGGATGTTTGTATGTTGTTTTCATTAACACAAGCATTTTGAGGTATACTCTTAGTATATGTGATTTGGGCACATTACACTACATTGCAAAATTTTGGAGAAGTGCAAATGAGGATGTGTTTGGGTTTGCATATTGTTCTAGAAAGTGTGAATTGGGTAAGTTCACCTTTAAATGTGAACTGAAGCAAAAATTTCCTCCATCCCTAGCAAGCGAGGGGCAGCATTCAAAACGAAATGTTTGCAGTCAAAATAATTGTCCCAAATAGACACCATTTACCGAAAAGGCTACCAGGCCCAGCTGATCTGGCCAAAGACATACATGGCACATCCAAGAGAGCTGCATGGAGAGTAGAGGATCAACATGAAATAACTTTGCTGTTCTACAAAGCAGATGGCTTTGCAGCACACATCATCTGAGAGCAGAGAGAGTTCCCACTAGAGCAATGGGCTTAATGTTCAAATACTTTTCGCCATGTGCTTTCAAAGCGGCTGGTTTAGAATGCTTGG